GTCGATTTTTTCTTCCCTTTACATTTTTTTTTTTTTTAATTATAGCCGGTTCGATCGCAACGCGACTAGTTAACCGTGTCTCTTTTGTCCGTTCCGCTTGTTCTTTCTTTCTTTCTTTCTTTCTTTCTCTTTCGTTTCACCATTGTTTCGCGTCTATTCTTTCACCGCGATTCAACAGCGAGTCGTTTCACACCAATTTTCGAACTGTTTTCAGTCCATTGATTTCGTCGATCTATTTATCGCGAAACGTTGCGTTGCACGCTCGTTCGGAACAGAACAGTTCATTAAATGCTTGTCCTTGTTTCTTTTTTTATCTTTCGCAGCCCGTGGGTTGCGACGGTGTGGTAGGTTCCGGAGTCACGATGGACGCTTGTGGTGTCTGCGGTGGTCAGGGTAAAGGTTGTAGACTGTACGAGGGCATTTTTATGGAACCAATCCTGCCACGGGGTCATCAACCTGTAACCAGTATTCCGAAAGGAGCCATGTCCCTCAACATATCCGAACTACGACACAGTAGCAATTTCTTAGGTATTGTTATGAAAAAAGCAAAATGCTCGAGCCGCGTTTATTTAGGGATACGACCAAATTGATCTCGCTTCTTTTTTTCCTCTCTGCTTTTCTAACCACTAATCTCTGATGTGTTAGCGTTGAGAGACGGCAACGGTAGTTACATCCTGAACGGACCCTTGGCTTACAGTCCAAGCGGCACTTATAAAGCGGCTGGCACGACATTAACATACCAGAGGGGTGACAGAAACCGCATGGAGTGTATCTTGGCGACCGGGCCACTGAACGATTCTTTGCATTTAGAGGTACGACCATAAAGATGTCTCTGATATCTCATTCGTTCCAATTTATTGGATCGATTTTCTTCTTTTTTTCTCTCTCTCTCCCCTCTCCCCTCTCCCCCCCTTTTTTTTACACACGATCATTTCTCGACCTGGCATTGTGTTACTTTAACCGTGACTTCGTGTATCGGTATTATTGGTATTTTTTTTAAATCGGTTCTTCAGATTCTGGCACAGGAAATGAATCCTGGAGTACTTTACAAATACATGATGCCGTTCAATGGAAAGCCATTAATAGCACCGCCACTTTTTGCGACAGGTAATACATTACACCGAAAAATCTTTAATCGAACGCATTTTTCCAAATCCTCGACGATATCTTTGGTTACATGGCTTTTAAACGAGTTGACATTTTACTCTTTTCGCAGGATCCATCGATCGTGGCAACGAAATCCCTGATTCGGATGCGCGTGTTGGCCTCACGATTCCCGTAACCAGAATGTAAATATTCTCAAATTATTATAGAGCTTCGTAATCGTTTGAATCAAATCGGAAACAATTTATACGGGAAAAAAGAAAAGAAAAAAAAAGAAAAAAAGAAATCGTATTTGGAAAGTTACGATTAGTAGTCCACTAGGATTTTCGCTTTTTCAGATCCAATCAGAAAATCGATTTATTACCGACGATTCGTAATCAAGATCGAGCGCGAGGCCGTGAGAGAGGACGAAAGGAGGAGATGAAGCATTCCCCGACTACGGTGATGGCCGGTGATCAACCGAAGTTAAAGGGCAAGAAAAAGAAACGTGCGCGGTTCGCTTGGAAGATGTTTGGATTGACTCCTTGTTCCAAAGAATGTGGAGGAGGTACGTGTAGATCAATTTCTAATTCGCAATTTATTACTATTTCGTAAGTTTCGAATAAAGAAAGAAAAAAGTTTAGAATTTATGCTACTCCCACGCGATTCCGATTCGTTGTGGCGAGCGCACGAGCTCGATTTTTCGGACACGCTAATTAAACGAGCAATTAGAAAAAAAGCGCGTAGATAATTAATAGTCCTAGAAACCGCAGAGAAACAGCTCGACTAATCGAGCAATGCGTGGGAAGTCGGTCGTTTCGGTATTATCGCCAAGGTTCGAAGGGTCGTAAGATTACAGTGCTCGATTCGCTCATCGCCATCACGGAAGTTGCGTTCAATTCACGAAATTTATTAACAGGAAACCCCACATCCGTGGCCACGTTGTTATTTTCCATCCATCGACCTCTTCAATATCGGCCCATTCACATGGCATTGTGCTGCATCGCGAATAGGACATTCGAGATATTTTTCATTTTGATTGGCAGCTCATACGGGCAACAACACGGTGAAATAACGTCGTGACAGCTGTCACTTCCTCCTTCTTCTTTTTAATTTCCATTCCCAACACGAGCCCAATAATTGACCCCGAATGTCGTATAACCCTTCAACCCTTTTAAACGCATTGCAATCTTATCGAGAAAATTGCTTTATTAGGTAACTAAAAAATCTGTGTCGTTTCCTTTATGATAAAAGGATATATGCGATATAAAATGGACAACCACTTGTGAAACGAAGGCAAGACCGTTTGGTCTAACTACAACCAAATGTTACTTACATTTTTAGGCGTTCAGACAGCTATCTTCAAGTGCTTCCGCGAGACCAAGCAGATGATCGTGAACGACAAACGTTGTCGCAACGTGGGAAAGCCGCAACACCCGCCTCCGTTGCGTTGCAACGACAATCCTTGCCCACCTAGGTAAAATCCATCTTCTCCTCTGACTGATTCGTGCAAAATTGGTTCGCATGTTCGCAATTCGGAAAGGAATTTGGAAACGGCGGTGGTTTCAGGTGGAGGGGCGAACCGTGGAGCGAATGCTCGGTCACCTGCGGCACCGGCACGAGAACACGAAAATTGGAGTGTGTACAGGAACTAAAAGCGAACTTAACAATGCGAGTGTTAGACGGTGCGTGCGTACAACCGCCAGACCTTAGGACCGTGGAAACCTGTGCGAAACCGGCTTGCACGAATAGTCCGGAATTAAGGCATATGCACTCTCAACACGACACGCCCAGATGGGACGTCGGCGCCTGGGGTCCTGTACGTCGTTACCTTTTTCCTTTTTCTCTTATTTTGTAACACAGGTAGTAGTCGTAAGAAAAGAGTCTTTCGTGTCGCTTTCTTTCGTTCGAAAAAGAAAAAAATAACTATGTCAATGCGAGAATTAAGGGAAACGCATTTTGTGCAAGCGACACGACGATTTCAGTGTTCGACGACGTGTGGGATGGGAATTCGAAATCGAACAGTGACTTGCATCACGTCATCGGGAAATGTCTGTCCGCCGTTCAACAAACCCGAATCTCAGAAAATGTGCGAATCCCCGCCTTGCACTACGTACACTGGTATGGAGCAACGAACTCCTTGGCTCTACTCGGAATGGTCGGCCAAGGTAAGATCGATAAATGGAAAGGAAGGATGGCGAAATCGAATCGAATCGAATGGAAAACGTTCTCTTATCTTTTGTCCAGTGTTCGGCCGAATGCGGTAGCGGAGTGGAAACGAGGCAAGTAGCTTGCGCCGATGTCAGCGAGTTGTTCTGCAATCCCAAAGAGAGGCCGGAAACGGAAAGGGAATGTTTCGGAAGAGGAACGAATTGCGATAGCGCGAAATGGTTCACCGGTCCATGGACATTGGTTGGTGATAGATAAGCGAAAACGGAGTATCTCCGGTGGCTTGTCGAATAATTGCCGACGACAAAAAACGACGCCACCAATCGGTTGATATCGTCTCGAATGAACATGGTGGACAAATATGGTTTCAGTGTTCCGTGTCGTGTGGAGTGGGTGTCCAGTATCGAGAAGTCCTTTGCGTCGCAAGGACGAACAACGAATTCGTCGTGTTGCCGGCGAGCAATTGCAGCGGCTCGAGGCCAGCAAACGAACAAGTATGCAGAGCGGCCGTGTGCACACCGACATGGTTCACCTCGGACTGGTCGAAGGTAAATCGCGAGTCGAGTCATGCGTAGATTTATGATCGGACGAGCACCGTGACTTTTTGACTTCCCGATATATAAATACCGATATAAATTTCGATATAAATACCAAGGCGGTTTTTTTCAGTGCTCGGTGACATGCGGTACCGGCGTGCAAACCAGACTGGTTCGTTGTATTCTCGAAGGTGTCAGCAGCTCGAATTGCGAAGATGCTGAGAAACCGAGCGACCAACAGGAATGCAGCCTGGAGCCGTGCAAAAAGGATGATCCTACGTCGTTGATCAAACCGCCCAAAAGTAAGTTTGATGGTTTACGTGCTTGTTTCGAACGATGTGGTTAACGAGTGGATAAATTTTTCACAATTTCAGAAGCGTATGAAGCATCGTCGGAATGCGTTGACAAGCATCCAGATTGCTCGGTGGTCGTGAAGAATGGTTATTGCCGGATCAAATATTACAAGTATTCGTGCTGTCGATGCCGCGAGTAATCGTTCGACAGCCGAGGACGAGTCACCGTTTCAGGCAGGTTCACCTTTTCCATGGTCGTGACCGTTTTCAATTCGATTAAACTCGTTGCTTTCCTCTTTCAGTTAAATATAAACGGGGAATTCGATACGGAATCTTAGCGAGTGATAAGACTGTGACAAAGAGACGATCATGTTATGTACAATTTTATTTAACACGATAATCGGCTAATCCCGCGTAGCTTTATTCCTTTTATTATCTTATTCCCGCGCGGCACGCTGCGGAGGAACGATTATTTAATTCCACAAGGAATTCCGTTAAACCCGGAAAGTGGGATAGTAGGTGAAAATTCACGAGAAATCAACTAGTCGTTCGAGAGCCGAAGGCGTTTAAAAGGGAGCACGACGTCGTCGTATAGGAGAGAGTATGATGCGTGTGCACACGTCTGCAGAAACTCGTATCGTACGGGGCATGTATATGTGTTACGTATGTAAATATCCTCTGTACAAGCGAACAGTTGCAGGGACGTAATTTTCTCAATGCATCGATCTTGATCCTGTGTACTTGACACCGAAATAACTTGAACAACGATCGATTCGCAATTCGAAATTTCGACTTCGAAGCCATTCGATTGCAAACATCTCGAAAGCAAAACACGTGAGTATATCCATAAAAGCAAAACGGGAATGAAAAATTCTTATCGAATTTTTCCTAAATCGTGTGCGATATAATATTGAAAATAGCAGGGGAACGATAAATAGGTTGGATCGTCGGTAAAGAACGAGAAGGGATTATCATTGTTACGCCCCTGGATGAGTTGCGATCCCATTTGCATGCGCGTTCGACGTGAAACCTGTACGCCCATGTACCCACTTAGGTAAAACCTGCGTGCTTGTGCCCAGACAACCGTGCGTGGACACGACACGAAACGAAACGAACCAAGCACACGAGCTGTCTGGTGTCGCTGCGAAAAGGAGAAGCAAAAACGTTTCGATCGATACAACTGCATGTGCTCTCGATGTACTTGGATAGGTAGGCTGTATTAGTTGCAAAAACATTATTTATGCGCTCGTATAGGCCAATCGGACCACGATGAATGCGAATAATTTTTGTTAATCGAGCATTTAATTAACATATCGAGTCGAATGAATTCGCCGATTTTGATTTACGAACCCGACTTTATTAACAAATTCATTCATCGCGACAAGGACAGCGCGGTGAACTCAAACCGGAAGCGCGTCGACATAATTTTCCCCTCTTTACATTCTTGTTTTCGACAAGGAACGAGTTTGAGAACGCGTTCGATCTTTAGAGAAATATTTTACGTCTCTGTCGAATCGAACTTCGCTCGAAGAGCTTTATCGTGAAACTCGTGTATTCATCGTTTTCTATGTAGTTGATGTCAACTGATTTGCCTATTCTTTAATGTGCGAACATAGTTGTAGGATAATAACTATAGCAGTGGTATCGAATCAAATATACGCTTGTCTCTGTGTAAAAAATATAACACTGGTATACTGTATACGTAGAATCGAATTTAATTTCCGACATTTTCTAATAAAAATCGCGAGAAGTATTATTATTAAAATCCACGAATTACTCGCGCGTAGTGAAGAAACCTTTACAGAGAGGTATATGGACGTAGATTAGTTTAAGTTTAAATAGATAACGAACGATCAAACGGAAAAAAAAACCTCGTGAAAATTGCGTTGGCAATCAATTTCTCAGTGTCAATTAAATCGCATTCCGGTTTGCCTTCTCGACACGAAAGAAGTTTGCGAACACTGTACCATATTCCGATTCGCTTTGTGTCCCTCGAGAAGCTAAATTTCTGTTGCAATTCGTTTCAATAAAATTTCCGTTTTTCCTTATATCATTTCTTTACTTTTACACCGATATGGGGCTGATTCACAGGTAAGTGTTGATTTCCCAAATTATTTTAGACGAAGCACGATTTTTGATTTTTTTTTTTTTTCATTCAGTTCTCTCTCCCCCTTCATTTTTTTTTTTTTTCATTCAGTTCTCTCTCCCCCTTCATTTTTTTTTTTTTTCATTTGTTACAGTTTATTCGACATTTGCACACAGTAGCTGCCGATAAAATACAAATATTGCATGCGTGTACAAAAACAATTCCTCCGATTTAACTCTATTATCGATTTCATCGAACGTTTCATCTGATTACATGATTAAACGATTAATTGGCAATGATTTTTCTATCGGATTGGAAAACAATTGTTCGACCGAACCTCAACCCTTACGATAGATCTGTGTACGTATTTATAATTATACTGTATCCCGTTTATTATTCCGAGTATTAATATTTATGGCTGTGACGCGTATCATGAATGGTAAATGTACGTGTCTCGACGAAGGGCATCCCCCAGCAGTGTGTTATTTAAATAGCTACCAAATGCCGACTTGTGTTGCATGTGAGGATAGGAAAGAAATAGTCTTTTTGGAAAAAAATATTCAAATACCTTACGATGCGTTTCGAAGAGATACAAGCGTTTCACCATGTAACATATTTACACGATTATTACGTTTCTTTCTTCACAAAGATATTGCTCACTTTTGCACATACTGAATTCAATTTTAAGAATCAATGATCGATAGATGAATAGGATAGTTCTGCTTAATCTTGAGAAAGACTGCTTTATATTTTTTTCTAATCCATTTCGAAATTGTATGTATACATATATTTTCTTAAATTTCTCTAACTATAAGTACACTTCGATCTATGAAAGTATAAATGTAGGCATCTTTACTATGATTCATTTTCGATTTTACTATATTTTACGTCTACTTTGGTCATATTTTGCGAATGAAAGTCTATTGTATTATCACATTGGCTCGAGACGCGATATAGCGCTCGTTAGCAAATGTGACCTCGTCAAAGACTGTGATACAATCGTAGTCTCTTGCAGGAGTGAAGTACAACGAAGAATTAATAATGAATTATCGATGTAAAGAATTGCCAGGAAATGAATAGCAATTCTTGATCGTAAATGTGTATTCTATGATATTCGAAAGATATTATCCGTAACATAAGAAGTTTTCACAAATTTAATCTTCTAATATTTAATGTCATTTCTAAACAAAAAAATAAAAGAATAAATTTTATATACGGTTGTGTTTCTAAATCTTCATTTATACTCCTATTAAAAGTAATATTAATTAGATCGAGTACATTTAAATCTTATATTAAAAAGGATGTTTTGTGAAAACTTTTTTGTAAACGATTTTTGATATTTAGAGATGTAAAGGACAAATGGAGAGTATAGACTGATCGGAAAAAATGCTATACAATGTACATGATGGATATGTGTTTAAAGATGGATGTAATTTCGGATATTATTCATAATAATCAGGTATATGTATATATTATACACCTGACATTGCTCAAAAGAAATCCAAGATCTAAAATGACAAAATATTAAAATCGAGCTTATACTTTACTCAGAGCAAAGAATAAATTGAAAAATTTTTCTTAAATGTTTAGTAATTAATAAGATCTTTCACGTAATTAATTAAATCAATAATTTTGGAAATATCATTCATGTGTTGACAAAAATCAATGCATTTGCTCAATAAAAATAATATGAATAAGAAAATTCTAAGAAGATTTTCCAAAAGTGACAATGGAAATGAAATAATAAAATAAAAACCGAGTTAAAGCATGGTATTCATATGTGATCGTGAATCACTAATTGTATATCTTATCGTAATAAAGATAAAAGTTTATTATAAATTTATAATAATATACAACGCATAAATATACATCAATATATATATATATAAAAAAACAAATTACAAAAACAATACATATACATAATGTATTGCTACGAAAAATACTAATATCAGCCGTTAGTTTTTCACATGTATATTTATCATTTTTCAAAGTAAGATGTATAAAAATTTGAAATATTTGCAAAATATACATGATACCGATTAATTAATCCCATTGTTTAAGGATGTACCTTTTCCGGTCCATTCTTCTTTCAATTCCACTTTCAATCCCAGATCTCTCAAAGCCGCCTTTACGTCACTTTCGAGCTTAGAACCATGTTGTTGAAGAGCACTTGTCAAAACGTCCTCTACACCATGAGTAATAAATTCTGAACATTCTGCCTTATTTCTTACAGACATATTTCGAATAGCCCAAGCAGCTTGTTTCAAAACATTCACGCTTTTAGAATAAGCTTTCATCGCATCTATGATTATAAGCGGTGCTCCGCAATCATAAAACACACCAGCGTTTGAGGGACACCTCAGTGTTAATGCGGAAATACATGCAAGTCCTGCGGTCACTACACACTCAGATTCCTATGACATGATTAACATTTCAGTGCTAAAATTTTTTCTTACATACATAGATCTAAACACTAATCAACATATTTCACAGAAAAGCATCATCATAAGAATCACAAACTTACTTTGAGTCTACTTATGACAGAAACAATTAAAGGGCCACAGCCTGAAGTTACAATGTGAGATTTCACATTATCATTTCCAGCAAGAGCTTTTAATAATTTTAAAGCCTGCCAATTCAATTTCTCTGAATCTGGATAATCGATCATGACATCTATAACAAACTTTAACCCTCCTGCATCCTCTACTTCTTGACAAAATTCATTTCTCACTATTAATGCTGCTAAAGTTATCATTAAATCACCTACAACCCCTTTATCTTTTTTATATCCTATACATAGTAAAATGTACCTATTAAAATTTTTTTTTGCATATACAATTTTTTCTATACATACAAAGAATTAAACATTATTTACTTGGCATCAATCCAGTAAGAACATTGAGGGCTCCCTTTGCAATAATACTTGCATGCTCATGTGCTTTTCCATATTCATGTCTAATATCATCATCTAACACCAGAGCTCTAATTACAGCACAAGCATCTCTTAACTCAGGTCCAGATGCATTATCTCGAATTAATATTTTTTTAAGCTTATTAAAAATATCTGCATTAAAAATATTTTGTCTATTATTCTCATGCTTTATACAACATTCTCTTATCCACCGTAAAAGACACTGTAATGTTGGAATGTCTGGATAATTATCTAAAATCCTGACAAATGGAATAATTTATAAATAAAAAACAATTGCTCATATTGTATTTGATCATAACTAATAATTTCTTACTGTATTTGTAAGGCTATTCCCTCATCATTTAATAAATCTGGATTACCAGTCATCAATGAAGTAATAGTTTTCAATGCTGCCTTTATTATTGTACCATTATTAAGGCATGCTTTCATTAATTTTATTAAACTATTATAAGCCCCATTTCTTCCTGCATATACTCTACGTGCAATATCTTTATCTAATTGAATTCTCAATTTGTCTAATGTATGATGAATATTTCCATAATTTTGATCTTCTATTGCAATATTAATTTGATTTAAACAAGATGTAATTAATTCATTGTCATCATTGAGAATTAAATCTTTAATGATATTGCTCAAGTCTATACCCTATAAAAATAGAATTGATAAAAACAACATGTAAGTACTTATATAATGTGTTCTAGATTATTTGAATTTTAGTATTCTTGTAATATTTTTGTAATATTTTTAAGTGAAAAAATTACAATATTATATAGTTTGATATTTAATTTTTTATCTGTTATTGATATAAAAATAAAATTATTAATTGCAATAATGTAAAGATAATAAAAAAATGTTAGTACTAGAACTCTAACATTTATAAAAAAAAAAAAAAAGAATTAATTTGACATAAATTCCATATAAAATAGCTTGATATGTGATTAGAAATATTACTTATTTAATTTCGAAAATTTTTATATAATGAATAACGTTAAAATATTGATTTAAAGTGATGAATTGTTTTTTATGCAATTTGAAGTAAAATTTGTAAGAAATTAACAAACATTTTGTAGAAATTTATATAACAGAAAATTAAAAAGAAACAAATTTAGATACCTGAGCTTCTAATTGTTTTACCGCGTCTTCTATAGCTTCTTCCGGAGTCATCGAAAATTGCTCCATATTTTCATGGACAACTTCGTCATAGGTTTCCTGACTAATTACGCGAACCATGATAATGCTATACTTTTGTTCACCGCGTTCTGAATTTCTATATTAGGAAATGAATGCTGTCTCGGGAACGCAGCGTGTCTTATCCACGTGAAAACAAAAAGACAAATGTCAATCTTGTCGTGTTCTATAATACATTAAGAACACATTGCGAATTGGTGGGGGTAAATCTAGGGATTTATAATCTAATATACCATCTATTTTATTTATTTATTCTATCTACTTTATTTTTATTATCATAATTAATTTATCATCATAAATTACTTGAATTAAAAAAAGTAATTAAAAAAAGTAGATTATATATAAGATATTTAAAAAAAATTAATAATTTATATGAAATTAATATTGATAGATTTCTTTTATATCTTTAAATGTTGTTAGAAAAAAGTGATTTTCAAATTTATGCAATAAATTCATAAAGATATTAAAAAATATAAAAAAAAACAAAATAAAAATAATTAAAAATAAATTTGAAAAAGTAAGTTTCCCATCCTGATAAAACGTAAGCAATGATCGATCGTAGCGCCCTCAGCTGCTTTGCCTGGCCTAACCGTGTTCGTACGTATTGCGATCGAGGGAAACAATTCTTTGTCACTTACTATTTGATCTTTTCAAATTTTGCTGTCGATTTGTCGGCAGCTGAAACTGAAAATCTCAAAAATTCGATGTGCCGAAGTGCGAAGGTAGTGTTTTTAATGTTTATCGGTTCTACGATATCTTTATTATCAGATCTCATTCTTGCATCCCCACCGATCACTCCATCAAGTTTCTTGTCCGTAAGAACTCTAATCTTTCTCGAATTGCTTTTGGGCGTTGTATCTTTCAGTGCATAAAAGATATGATTATGTGAGATATGATTATAACTGAAAAATAAACTCTTTATGAGAATTCAAAGAACATTACTTCTACATGGTTACTTAACACGCGTGTAAACTGTGTTATGTTATTCATCATTAAAGACATACATTATAAAATTTTGTGCGTGTAAAAATCATCATGTGATTAAAATGAGTTATAATATTTGCGAGTTTATTTTATAATTTATAATATAACGGAATAATGACTTTTATAAAATCATAATATTTCATTGATTATAACTTTGGTCACTTTGAAACGCTATGTACGCCATTCGCGTCATCGGTTAGACAAACGCACTTTTTTTTTTTATTTTATTATAAAAAGTAATAATTGCAAAAATTTATACCAATTATTCATAATTAATAAGACTATATTTGCTTTTTATGCAATATTTATTTTAATATATATTGTTTAATGTGTTAGTGTTTTTATGTGAAAAATATATTGGATAATTGAAGATTTAATGAAATATAACTATAATATGTTATGAATTATTATCATAAGTGTTATAGAATTATGCAGAAAATTTTATAAATATTAATTTATGTTACAGAAATTGCACTAAGTGATCGTGGATATGAAAAAGCATGAAATAAATATTTGTATGAAAGAAGAGGTACAGATGAACTATAGATCTCCACAAAAAAAATGCAAGAAAGAATGATAAAATCATGATGCATCACATTGTCATGCATAACTAGTTATCGCTGTGTTCATATCAAGTTACTTTAATAGATTTTGTGTGTTCAGAGAAATTAACACTCAAATATCATCACAGATCATCATTACATATATTGCTATACATTATATATATGTATATATTTAACAAACAAGATTTTTAAAAATAATTTTATGTATACAAGCGAGTAGCCTTAAATGAGAGTTACTGTAAATTTGTAATAATTCTGGTGCCGTTTAATATAATCAATAAAAAAATCAATTTTATAAAGTAATAAAAATTACATTTTAAATGATGCTCAAATTGTTACAAATAATTTTAAGTAGCATACATGAAGTATTGAATAAGAATTTGTTCTGACACAATTTGTGGTATAACTACAGTGGAATAAAAATGTTTTAATGTTTAAGAAGAGGATGCACAACAATCGAGAGAGATTATGTTCTGTGATTATAGTGTTGTGCAGAATTACTCGCGTTTACATACTATGTATGACTGACAAATGAGTTAATTTTAATATATTTTTCCATGGAGAGAACATGTTAATGTG